ACTATAACATGTGACCAATTAATATTACCAGAACATGTAACATGTGAACATTTGTGATCTAAACAATATAACCTATGATATCTAAATGACTTGTGACCAAATAATATTAAACTATGAACATAAATTAGTGATCTATGACCACTTCTATGTGATTTGTGACCTGTAACAATTGAAAAATACATGTGACGCGTTATAAGTTCACATGTCACAGGGTCATTGTGCACAGGTCATAGGTAATTGTTTCAATATCACAATTCATCTATTTCAATGGTCACAAATGATTTATTCATCACAAATTAACTGAATTTATTGGTCACAGATCGTATTTATAAAATCCCAACTCAATTCAAACCCAACACCACAACCACCAACACCACAAGAACCACCATTTGGACCGCCACCATCATTACCTACACCATCCAAGTGCATCAAATAAAAAAATCGCCCACAAAAAATCATCAACAAACCACACCATCGTCATTGCTATAGCTACCGCCATGCTGACGCTAACGTCGCCAACCACCATCACCACCACTGGCTCCACCACACCACCACAACCTCACCAGCACCGCCAACATCATCACCATGTCACTAGCATTGCCATTTCACCATCACTATACAACCATCGCAAAGCAAGATGTAAAATAAGAGCTTGGGGTGTCAGTGACAAAGAACTTCCACACCATTCAACACCAGATCGCTACCCAACTCTGGCGACATTGCACTAAAACAACCCACAACAAACCTACCAACCTGGTCACAACCTAACTCCACCGAAAAGCTAGAGAAAAGTAAGAAATCGAATATTTTTGTAAACAAACCATCAGCAAATCAAAATGAAGACTTAAAGAATGGTAAACCAATTAATTCAACAACTGATTAAAATTGCCAATCTAAGGCTTAAAAAAGTGTCTAGTGAAAACTAGGGGAGAGAGAGAGAGAGAGAGAGAGAGAGAGAGAGAGAGAGGAAATTGGGATTCAATCTTGCTCTGGATGGGTTAGGGGCGTGGGATGTAATTTAACTTTATAATATATTATAGTTAACTATAAAATATGAATTTACCATCTGATTTTTGGATAAACAAACCTTTAACATGATTTTTGAATTGTGATTTTTAAATGCCTGATGGGGTGTAATCTGCACTTTGATAATTTATAAATGATTTAGAAATTTGGTCAAATATGGATTAAGTCATATGGGCTCGCTAAATTAATCAATGGGCCATTAAACAAGTTGGTGTGAATCTCAATCCATTGGACTTAAGGCTCTAATTATTGAAATAAATAAGGTGGGATTTAGTTAAAATAGTTGTACAAGTTTGAGCATTTGATCGAAAATAATACTATTTTCTTCAAAATATCCTTTATTTTAAAGACAAAAAACAAAATAGGTAGTTATACTTATACTATTTTTAATTTTTTTTTTTATTGCGTACATCACATTTTAATTGTATCAAATGTTTATAACCATAACTTAATATCACACATATGTACCTAACTTTTTCCGGCTAATTTTTATCCACAACCACAATAGTCTATAATTAGGACATATTTTCTGTGATAATAGTTTTCTTCAAAAATTTTGTTAGTGTACTTTAAAAATAGGGGCAAATATGTAATCGTATTTTTATCATTTGCTACTTTTTTTTATAAAAAAAATACAATGTTCAAATAACTCTTTTTACATCCTCTTAACAAAAATCTTGGACAAAAATCATCATCAAAGACAAGATGCATTTATTAATAAAAGATTGAACAGTTTAAAATAATGTTGAAATTAAAAAAAAAGCGTGGATAGGCGAATGACAAGAAGTAAAAATTGAGATTTTTAATGTAATTAAAATATAATGCACTTATATAAAATTATGGTGCTAATATATCTACCAAACAAAATACCTTTATTTTTCTCAACAAGAGAAAATTAGGTGGGGCACATTTTTGAGATTAAAATACTGAAATAATATCTTCTCTAGAAGTGTTGATAATTACTGATGATCAGCCATTTTTTAACGGAAAACTGCTGTGGATGACCTATTAATACTCAGATACTCAGATTGCAGGTTATGCTTAAAAGTCTTTTTCTCAAGTCACTTTCAATAATTTTTGTAGTTTATGCAATATTAAGATTTCTATTGCTACAATCAAGCGAAATGTACATGCATGTATAGAAATTTCAATCTTGCTATAAATACATCTCTCTCTGCATCCTGACTTACCGAATTTATAATCAACATTATCTCATGTCACCTTTCATATCTCACACATTTAATTAAACCATTAAAAATTACCACATTATCCATTTGGCAACCAAGTGGTAAAGGGGATGAACAAATATCTTTATTCTATAAATTTTAATAATAAATAACATTAAACTTATCTTACATATCCAAACGTAATGAATACACGTTATGTAGACAATTTTTTTGATCAAAGCTTCGAAGTAGTTGTCTCCCAATATGAATTATTTCGTTCATGCGAATGTAGCACCTCAATCATACATGTACCAGCAAAGCGAACTTTCGCACTGAACTTCGAGATGAGCATTGAAGCAAAGTTTTATATAAAACAGGAAATTACACGGAGAGTAGAATTACGGTCCGTTTGATTGTAAAGATGAAATTAAATTGAATTGAAAACGAATTTCAGGGAATTGAATTGCCTAGAATTCGTTTTCCTGGGAATTGTAAATTATCGTGTTCGATTGGTACGATTTTCCACGTAGAAAATGTTGAAATAAAAATATTTTTTGGTGTTCGTTTGACTTTGTTTTATATGAAAATTGTCAATTAAAGGGATATATTTTACTGGTACTAGAGATAAAATTTGTTTCCTTTGCCAAAAAAAAAAAATTAAGAAAATCATTTATCTTTTGATGTTCATTTGACTTTGTTTTATATGGAAATTGTCAATTAAATAGAAATATTTTTTTTACAATAATTCTTAGAATTTATTTCCATTGCAAAAAAAAAAAAAAATGCTGGAATTTGAAAAACTGCTAGACCCATGGGAATTCATTTTCCCCAAAAAGCAAGAAAATGCACACGTGTGGGGCAAAAGCAAGAAAAAGGAATTGCCTAGAAAATTAGTCTATCAAACACCCAAAAATGTTGAAGTTGGAAAATGATTTCTATTTTCCATGGAAAAGAATTCTTATCAAACATGGCCTTATATTTTTTATTGAGTCAAAAAGCCTTATGGACTGTATAAATAATTTTCGGATGTTGTCATTCATTCGAAACCTTTTATGCAACTTCATTTTAGAATGAAAATAAATGAGAATTATTGAATGAAAATGTAAAAATCATGAAGGCCGCGATAATTAGATATAATTGTTGGATTCTGAATCAAAAGGTAAGGTGATGCAATACCAAAAGAAGAAGAGTTCACGGTAAAGGGAAATTGGGGCTGATAAATTTTTTTTGAAGTTATCGTTTTGAAGATTTTTGTGTCTATTTTGAGTGGAAATGGCAAAACTCATCAGCTCCATCCATGATGTATGACCTGTTTCGACCTAATTCCATCGTTTAGGACTTTAAAAATGCATTTTTTGTTATTCTGAATAATTTTCTTAATTATAATTAGAGTCGAATTTTAGTTCCATTTAGAGATAAGTTTACCCTTAATTTTTATAATTTCTACAGTTAGTTGTTATCTAGAAATTTAATTATTATCCAGATTTTATTTACTGCTTCAAAAATGAGTGGTAAATTTAATGACAAATAGTTGAATTTTGAATTAAACAAACAGTATTGAGAAGTTTTTCAAATTGTTCTCTTTTTTAGTATTTGATATTTCAAGTCAAATTTAAATTTGTGTAAGAATTTGTTTTTGGATTGAAAAATGCTACTTGGACAGGCTAAAATACAGGTTAGAAAACAGGGATTTGAAAAATCTGATGTGGCATAAATTTTTTGGAGGGAAGCTTTGCATAGTGGACCGGACCGGTTTGGATTAACCCTCATTTTTTTTTATAAGGAAAAAATCTCATTTGATCCCAGTTAATCCCACTCATTTGCACAGTAGAAAAAATCTCCCTGTTCAAAATCCGCAGAAAAATCAACCTCAAATAATTCTGTTTTCGTTGGTGAAGAAATCGTTTTGCTCCAAATTGAAATCAAGGAGTCCATTGGAAAACCTTCTTGGGTTTTTCCTTTTATCTTCTGCATTTTGAAGTTTGGATCTTTACAAGATTATTCGTTATGCTTTGTTATTTTAAGGATCAATGTTCAGTGCTTTAATGATTTCAGAAGTTCGCAGACAAATATAATAAAGAGAAATTCTGCAGTTTTATTTCTTTTCACTCTCCATTGTTTAGAGGAATAATTTCTGCTTCTATTTTGAGAATTGATTTTGGGAGCCTGGAAAATGAGTTACTTCTCATGTAACAGATTTAGCAACTATGGATAACTCACCATCGAATACATGTGCAAGAGATGCAGCTGGAACTTCAGTTAGACAGTTAGAATAGTTGGAGTTAGTATGATCTAGTCCACGGGCCAATTGTGTATAGTTAATACAACTGGAGTTAGTTAGAATTTGTTGAGAAGCTGCTGAATAATTCAAGTCATTTGTCTATTTATATACAGCACAATGTAATGTACATTCAACTTTTTGGAATACAATTGAGTTCTTCTTCCTTCTTCAATTTTGTTTAATATCATGTTTTTTTCCAATAAGAAACCAATCAGCAATGCAGACATACTAATAGCTAAGGTCAAAGGTATCAGTACTTCGGACAAACGTACGTGAGCTGCACTTCAGTGGCGGGTTTTTGCAGCTCAATTATACGGTCCGAATAAGTGTGAAGAAGAGTGAAGATCAATTTTTTAGGGGCTTTGAGGAACCTAAGAAAATCACACTTTGGCTGAGACCGAACAGCAACCCGACGACAACATTTTGGTTTATTTTGTGATAGTAGATGTATTTTGAACTATTTGTTTCACTTCACTTCTTCAGTTGTGTCATTAAGATCACTTCAGGCTGCTACTAAATGCATTTTATGCCTTCGGGAAATGGAACTTCAGTGAGAAATGCAAATAATTAAATTACAATAAGCAATTGATATTGATAAACTTGAGTAGCATGTTTTTTATGTTTGAAGATGACACATACTTTGACACATATTATTACATTATATTAAGTTTTTGCCCCATATAAGTCATATATGGGGCAACTAAATGCAAGAGAGAATTCCAATACAAAACCATCTTCTGCTACTCCTCTTGTGCTCTTTTGCAATCTTAAGGCTTTTAGTCCCATCACTCACATACTTGAACGCATTTGTAACATAGTGTTTGATATCATCCATTTGCTCACCTTGTGCCTCAACCATTACTGCCATGTCGAGAAACATCTGGTGAAGCTCCAGTAGACTCTTCTCTATTTCCTTGGCCGGTCATGATGTTCTTGGATCTCCACCCCCATTTCTACTTTCTAGCACCTTCCCCTGCCGTGCTCCTAGAAACATTATAGTCGTTACATCAAGAAAGTTAATATAAATGTTGGCAATTAGTCTAAAATTGAGATCGAAAGTTTGAAAATTGAGGAAATTATTTAGGAAAGATCAAGTTGGAGAGATTATCTATGACAAAAATGTAGAGCTAAATACCTGTATGGCTTTAGACAGAAATTTCTCACCACTGCGGTCTGCTATGGCTCCACGTTCGATGAACCGGAGATGGAAGGAAACAGGAATTTTGACCTTTTGATTTCTGAGGTTTCAAAGGTGGGAGACACAATTTTTTTCTTTACCAATTTCTCTCACTTCTACTCAGATGGCGACCTATTTGGTTGGTCTGCTATGGCGCCACATTCGGTGAACGTGCAGCATGATGACAGAGATGAAGGGCTTGGATTTGGATTTTGGGTCTCCTTCCGGTTCGACTTTGGGAGAGAGAAGCTGAAATACAGGGTTTTCATTTATCAACCTTCTTTTTTCATTTTTTTTTTCCTTTTTTATATCCTTTTTTTTTTTTTTTTTTTTTGCCCTTTTTTATATTTCTTATGCCATGTCAGATTTTTCAAATGCCTGTTTTCCACCCTGCATTTCAGCCTGTCCGTGTAGCCCCATTGTTGTTTTCTAAATGCATGTGTTCCATCATTTAGAAAATTTATTTATATATATTTTCCGTGTCTCAATTATTAGATTTCGTTTTCTTATAATGATTTCTAATTTTTTGTTCTTGTTAGGACAATTTTTTCACCTATATATTAAGCCATGTCATTAGGACAAATAAATTAAAAATAGGCCATGATTGGAGGTTAGGTGATAAGTGCGTTTTACGCGTTTATTTATTCTTTTAATTTTGATAAATTATAGTTAATTCGAATATATTGCTACCTAGTTATGTGAAATTATGTGATTTGTAAGAAAAGATTGAGGTTATAAATGCAATTGATGCAAAAGTGGTGAGTTTGAGCTTAACTGAATATTAATTTGACACTTGGAAGATCATCACTGATTGAAATCATTCAATTGAAAGAAATTGTTGGAGCAATTGGATGAATTCACGAGATTAAGGATGAAAAGTGACATTTAAAAAGTTTTAGAGCCAAAAGGGAGTGTTGAAAAGTTGGAGGATCAAAACGCAAAATTGAAAATAGACCCCTGGTCAGCCTCGGTTTGCAAACCAGCGGCCGATCCGTGGTCGCTGGCAATTCCAACATGCCACTGGTGCAGACCCGCTGTCCACCTGCGACAGCCTCCTTTAGGGTGCATTTTGACTTTTTATTTCATTATTATTATTTTTTAATTTTCTTTTACCTTTTTAAGAGTTTATATTTTATGTAACTCTCATATGAGGTATAACACTACATAAAGCGCAAAATTAGATGAGAATATGTTCTATAACTTTAGAATTGAAGAGAAATAAATCAAAAAAAGGCGAGAAATGAAGTTATTGATGCAGCGGAAAGAACAGAAGCAAAATCTGTGTACACGAAAATCCCACAACTCTTCCACAGACCTAGAAATCTGGACTAGGAATTGCAGGAACAAAGAAAAACTCTTGCAGAGAATTCTTAAAGATATTAAAATTCAGTCTGAAAACGTCCCCCTACAGAATGTGTCCATATTGATAAAAAAAACTAAGGAAAATTATAGACAGAAAACTTACCAAAAATGACAAACATAATAACTACTTATGGAAACTTTCCTTAAACTCGACCAACATAATAATGAAAATAATGGAAAGAAAAGCTAATAAAATAACTTGGTAAAATAATAGAAAGCTAATAAAATAACTTGGTAAAATAATAGAAAGAAAAGCTAATAAAATAACTTGGTAAAATAAATAACAGCCACACGATCTGATCCCCTAGCAGCAAACGATCTGATCATCTATAAGGGCTGAACTGCCTCAATCTTCAAGGGCCACGTCTGCATCATCCTCCTCTGGTTGGAGAGAATTCGCCCTCGAATTCGAGTCCTTCATTGATGAATCACCGACATATGGAACCAAGTGCTTGACGTTAAATACATCACTGGTCGCAACATTCCTTGGAAGCTTCAACCTGTATGCATCAGGATTGATCTTTTCAATCACTTCCAACGTTCCAATTTTCCTAGCAGCAAGCTTATTATAATCACCAACAGAAAATTGATCTTTTGTCAGGATAGCCCATACAAAATCCCCTGCTTCAAACTCCACAGAACGCATTTTCATATCAGCAGCAGCCTTGTATTTGATAGTAGAATCTTGCAAGTTCTTGACCGTTGCCTCATGAATTTTCTGAATTTTACTTATGAAATCTTCAGCCTTGACATGAACTCTTCTAATATCAGGAAAAGGAGCTAAATCAAGTGGTGCGCGAGGATTATATCCATAAACCACATGAAAATGACTAAACCCCGTACTCCTATTGGTAGATCGATTGTAAGCAAACTAAGCCTAAAATAATTTTTGATCCCAAGACTTCAAGTGATCCCAGACACTGTAACAAGTCTCCCAAAGAATGGTTTACAACTTCGGTTTGCCCATCGAGCTTGGTGTTAGACAAACGCCATAAACATCTCCAAAAATGGCTAAGAAAACGGGTGTCCCTGCCAGACACAATGGACGACGGCAATCCATGTAATCAATATATCTCACGAAAATAAAGGAGTACCACATTAACAGTATCCGATGTCTTCTTGCAAGCCACGAAGTGTACTATCTTGGAGAATCAGTCCACCACCACAAAAATAAAATCATGCCCACGCTGTGTTCTAGGCAACCCCAACACAAAATCCATGCTAACACTAGTTCAAGGTCCTTCCGGAATAGGCAAGGGGTAAGTAAAGTCCTGCATTAGTTGCTTTCCCCTTCGAGATCTAGCAGATCCGACATCCCTCCACAAATTTTGCGACTTCTCTCTGCACATAAGGCCAGAAAAATTGTTATGTGATAAGCTTCAAAGTTTTGTCACGCCCTACATGACCTTCATTCAGAAATTCCTGAATAATCTTCAGGCGTAAACTTCCCTCGGGAACGCACAATTGATTTCCTTTGAACAGAAACCCGTTATGCATAGTATAGTCATCTCGAGGGCGGGATCCTAAATCACTCAAAATAGGACCAAAAAAAGGATCAACTGATAAGCATTCTTTAAACTGATCAAAGCCTATTACCTTGGTCCGCATTTGCACCAGTAATGACGCCTTCCTGCTTAAAGCATCTGCCGCCCTGTTCACAGCCCCTGATTTATGTTTAATGGTGAAAGAAAATTGTTGAGTATAAGCAGCCCAACGAGGATGTCTAGCTGAAAGTTTATCCTGATTATGGAGGTGCTTCAATGCCTCATGATCTAAATAAAGGATGAACTCACTATATGTCAGATAAGAACTCCAATGCTTCAAGGCCCGAACTACATAATAAAACTCCACATCATAGGTACTATAATTAAGTTTGGACCCATTCAATTTTCTGGCTGAAATAAGCCACTGGTCTACCCCTTTGGCTTAGAATGGCCCCAATGACAACTCCAGAAGCATCGCAATGCAACTCAAAAGGTTGAGAAAAATCTGGCATCACAAGTACAGGGCCGGTCGTCAACTTTTCCTTAATTTGTTCAAATGCCTCGGTTGCTTCGTTCGTCCACACGAATTTCCACCCTTCATACAATTCGTGAGTGGTGCAGTAATAGTACTAAAATTTGGAATAAAACGCCTGTAAAAAGATACCAACCCATGAAAGCTACATACCTTCTGAATGGTGGTAGGAATTGGCCAATTCTGAATAGTTGCAACTTTAGATTCATCGACAGATAGACCATCCTTGGAAACCACATAGCCCAAAAATAAGACCAAGTCCGTCATGAAAGAACATTGGACCAAGGCTACAAAAAACTTCTCCCTGTGAAGTACTTCCAAAACCTCCCTCAACTGCTGAAAGTGCAACTCCACAGTAGCACTATATATCAATATATCATCAAAATAAACTACAAGACACTGACCAATGAACGGCCTAAAAACCTGGTTCATCACCCGCATAAAGGTATTAGGGGCGTTAGTAACCCAAAAGGCATCACCAACCACTCATACAATCCTTCCCTAGTTTTGAAAGAAGTTTTCCACTCATCTCCTAGACGTATACGTATCTGATGATAACCAGTCTTCAAATCTAACTTGGTAAACACAATAGCACCACTTAATTGATCTAACAAGTCATCAAGCCGAGGAATAGAAAATTTATACTTGATTGTAATTTTGTTGATAGCCCTACTGTCAACGCACATCCTCCAGGACCTATCTTTTTTAGAGTAAGTAATGCTGGCACGGCACATGGACTAAGGCTTTCTCTGCTATGACCTTTTGACAACAAGGTCTCCACTTGATGCCTAAGTTCTTCATGTTCTTTGGGGCTCATACGGTAATGTGGTCGGTTCGGTAGATTAGAACCTGGAACCAGGTCAATTTGATGTTGTATTTCTCTCAATGGTAGCAAACCTTCAAGTAACTCATCTGGAAATACATCAGAAAATTCCTCCAACAATTTTTTCACGAGAAGTGGTACTTTTCCCCCTGTATAACCCCCTAGCAACACAAACACCACCCCAGACTCCTGCAACTCATTCATAAACTCCCCTTTAGCTAACAAAATATGTCCCTCCCACGAAGGGTGTCGGGGCTCATCCCTTTTGTTAGGCAGTAAGACAATCTTTACTTTGTCAAACACAAAAACTATACGTATTTCGCTTTCCATCATGTATAACATTCCTGTCAAATTGCCACAGTCGACCCAATAAAAAATGACATGCATCCATGGTTATCACATCACACCAAATTTTTTCCTTATACTTCGCACCGATAGAAAATGATACCAAGCAATGCTTAAAGATAGTTACCTCACTTCCCTTCTTGAGCCAAGCCAATTTGTAAGGACTTGATTATGCTCAAAGTATAACGCAGTGATTATAGTACAGTTTTGGAGTGTCGTATCCACAGGGAGATAAAAAAATTTTTAAAGGATCAAACAAACTAGGGTTTTCATGATTTTGTGAAGTGAGTTTTCAATTTGAAGTGGAATTTAAATATCAATATTCAAAATAGTGAAGTACCGATATTCGCTCTCTTGGATTGGATCAATCAACATTAATCATTCATACATTTTACTCTAAAATCAAGGTTCCTATAACATATTCCTACTTTATTCTATTGAAATTAGATTAAGAAGCGTCCATATACATCAAGCATACGGAAGTAAATAATCCATCAACGACATACATGAAATTGAAACTTAATAAATATTTCGATCAAACGATAGAAAGAGCGTGACTAATTCTATGAAAAGTCTAATAAGAATTGAACCAATTTCAATTACCAAATCAAAAAGGGAAACCTATATTTATTTAATTTAACTTGCAATCCTAGAATTTAGAATTCCTAACAACATATTCCGCATTTATTTATTAAAATAAGATTCAAGAAATGACAATAAACTTTAAGCATAGAGCAGTAATCAAATCACT